CCAAAGTTATATTTTAGATTTTGGTTCCTATAACCCTTAACCACAGTTTAAGATATATATATCAGTCTCCCCTGGGCTACGCCACTTCCATGACTACACTGATGACTTATCAGTTGCTTTTAAATTAATTTTTTATTAAGTCTCATAATTATTATTGTAAGAGAGACCAAGGACGTCCGAGAACTTAATTTGTTGGACAAATGATATCCGATGCTGGACTGTCAAGCTACATGGAACTAAAGAAAGAAGTTAGTTGGGAGCCGGGAAGAGTGTAGAACGCGTGTCCGACTGCAAAACCAATAATAGGATTTAATACAAGAAGTGAATATATATATATATATTTGTATTATATATTATTTAGTATTTATAACATTATAAATATATTCAACATAATTAAAGCTTATTATGGTGAGGGAAATGCCAGTATAAAATAGTATAAAAGGGTGCATTATCTCAAAAGGTTAAGAATCCTTGAACTATAGAGTTCCAAATAATATAGTTAATACCTATGTTTATGCATTTATGATCGATACAAAATAATATTTTCAAGGGTTTAAAACCATTCCGATTCGATTATGTATTTCAGAAAATTAAAATCAAACTGTTACATGCGCAAATACACGCTGATCATAAAATTGTCATTTTTTTTCCTTGTACGTCATGTTTTCATGATGAAAACTAGTTATAAATATAAAACATTTAATTATAAGTAGTCCGACGGAATTGATAAATGGATTTTAATTTTACGTATCTTGGGCTCAGCTTTATCATCGTCAAGTGTTCGCTAAATACATTTCAAAGTTGTTATAGAAATTTGTCGAGGAAAACGAAGAAACTGTCCGTTAACTGCAAGATTTCGTGTTGCCAATAACTGTCCGGAGACGACACTTAACGCACAAGTGACCCACAACTTCACTGATTGATTCAGAAGGCGAGTGATTTTCAATATTATTTAGGTGATGATGTTGCGCACCGACAGAAAAGAAAAAAATTAAACCATATTACTGCGAAGTATTGTCAGTAAAAGTCGTGAAACCGATAAATCTTACATTCCCATTATTATTGTACGTTGCAAAGTTTGTATTTCATTACAACAAAATTTGAAGCAGAACACTGAGCAACTAAAGTTAAACGCACAAAAACTCGTGTGGCTGAGAAGTCGATTTTTAATTATTATTATTAGCTTTAACACGTAAAATATGTTTACATATTATGTAAATATATTATATTTACATTTTAAAATAAATATATACATACATATTTATTTTTCAATATTTCATTGCGATACGAGTTGTTGACACCCCGAGGCGTAGACCACGACAATTATATCGGTAACACATTGAAGTGTACACGTGCTTGGTGAACGAGACTGTTGTTTTCATTCGACGCGTATGGCCAGAAACGATGGTGCACGTACGGCGAGGAAAAAAGCAATTAAAGTTAAAACGGAGACAATCGCGTGAGACTTGCGGACTTCCAACAAAACCGTCTTCTTCACCGGTTCGACGTAATGATTACAAACGCGGTACAAAAGTACTCATAACGCTGTTTCTATACAATCAATAAAAAGCATACCGGTGACGAGAACTCGGTATAACCGCAAACATTCGTAACGGCCAGTACCGATCCGAAATAATAATTAGGTTGCGATTATCGTCCGCCGCGAGATCCTTAACCGTCGTCGAGGTACAGCCCCATCCGCTCGAGTCGATGGCAATTTTGCGGTCCTCGTCGTTTTATCGCGTGACGTGGATTTATTAAACCGCTTCAGAATTGATC